ACTTGTGAAAGTGTTTGTACAAAGTGTCATCCACTTTTAGGCCTGAACTTCAGACTGGCGAGGAAGCGTGACCCAACACTGCCGTCGCATTGCAACTGCAAATATAAACGAACTGCAACGTCAGCAATCAATCATTCACTTCAGATTGATTGCATTTATAGTTCTGAATCTCCTCTTATTATTTTTGGATGCGAGATGAGAGACATGTCCTGCGAGAGAAAGTATTAGAGAAAGGGGCAGAAGATTTAAGAGCTAAGAATAAGAAGGATGAGAAGATGCAGAGAATATAAGAGAAAGAAAATGATGAGAATGAAAGAACGAGGAAAGTGAAAGAACGTATAGACAAAAAGAAAAAGAAAGAAAAAAAGAAAACATACAAGAGCTAATTTAATATTTCTTTTATATAACAGACACGATGTAAAATACCAAATACATTTTTTTTTTTTTTTTTTTTTTTTTTTTTCAGTGGCTGAGATGCCTAGTCAAATATTTTCTTCGTAATAAGGACCTGAAATATCGAAGCCTGTTTTTCGTTCCCGCAACAAACTCTTGAGATGGCTTATCCTATATTTTCGTATCCTTAAGAAACTCCTGAGATGTCTAATCTAATATTTTCGTCTCCTAAACAGACTCGTGAGATGCCAAATGCAATATTTTCTTTTTCATAACATAGACTTGAAACGTCCAATTAGTATTATCTTCTCGTGGTATGCCCAATACACTATTTTCTTCTTCCAAGATGCCTATTCCAGTACTTTCTCCTAAGATTTCTAATCCAGTATTTTTTTTCAAAGATGCCCAATCTAGTATTTTCTCCTTCCAAGATGCCTAATCCAATATTTTCTCCTTCTTCCAAGATGTCCAATCCGGTATTTTCTCCTTCTTCCAAGATGCCTAATCCAATATTTTCTCATTCTTCCAATCCGGTATTTTCTTCTTCCAAGATGCCTAATCCGGTATTTTCTTCTCCATAACAGAGACCTGAGATGCCTAAGGAATACCATCCATACCAACTTGCTCTTCACGTACCTGCTACACAACCTATTCTGGATTGTGTATGCTTCGGTGCAGGTATGTGCAGCATAAACGAGGGACGGAGGAGTAGGGAAGAGGGGAGAGGGGGGGAAGGAGGAGAGGCGGGGTGGGAATAAGGTAAAGGGGGAGGGAGGGAAGCAGGCAGGGAGAATAGGAGGGAAGGAGGGAGCTGTGGTGAAAATTGAAAAGAGGAGAAGAGAAGAGAGATAGATAGATAGATAGAGAGAGAGAGAGAGAGAGAGAGAGAGAGAGAGAGAGAGAGAGAGAGAGAGAGAGAGAGAGAGAGAGAGAGAGAGAGAGAGAGAGAGAGAGAGAGAGAGAGAGAGAGAGAGAGAGAGAGAGAGAGAGAGAGAGAGAGAGAGAGAGAGAGAGAGAGAGAGAGAGAGAGAGAGAGAGAGGTTGAGGAAAGGAAAAAGAGAAACAGAAACTGACAGATATACAGACAGAGGGACAATAGAAGAAAAAAAGTAATTAAGGAAGACAGAAGAGTTAAAGGGAGATACAGACCGAGAAACATCAAAGAAAAAAAAACGAAATAAGGAACAAGGAAAAAGAAGAGAAAGAAGGCAAAGAGACACAAGAAGGAGAGGGGAAAGGAGCCAAGAGACCCAACTGTGTCTCCAGGACCCAGCTGATAAGGATAATCACATTTTCTTTCCACAGCCGCTGCATAAACATTCCATCCTTCTAAATGGAAATTATGCAGTTTCTCAGACATGGTTAAGTGGAAGACACATTGACTTTTATTCTTGTGTTTATTTTTAACTTTCCCGTTATCGTTAATAACTTCGTTCTTCTCATTATTATTATCATCATCATGATTGATATGATTTCCATTGTTGTTATTATTATTGTTATAATTAATATTATCTTTATTATTATTATCATCATCATCAATATTACTATCATTATCATTATTATTGTTATTGTTATTGGACGTAATATTACTATGATTATCATTATTATATTACAACTGTTACTACTACTACTACTATTATCATTATCATTAGTAATATATCATTACTATTATTATTATCATCATTATCAATCATTATTATGATCAATCTTATTATCATGATCATTAAATTTTTTAATTCATATTATCGTTATCACTGTTATTATCATTATCGTTGTTATTACTACCATTTACATAATTGAAAAATGCCCTCAAGAAATACGAATTCGGAGACATAATGGTTTACATTTCGTCCAATTACCTTAATTAAATCACATGTAATGAAAAAGTAATGTGAATAATCGTGTCCTGGATAGTTAAAGGTAGTAAAAAAAAACATCGAAGTAAAAAGAATTACCTTACGTTGGTATTAGCTATATTAAATGGCCCGTCAAATTCACCAAAAAACATTAATCTCAATAGTGAAAAGATGATAATGATGATAATAATGATGGTAACAATATTGGCATTTATGACAAATGATAATGGTAATAACAGTTATGATGACGA